AGTGAGTTCGATCTTGTTGTCGGCGTGGAGCGAAAGGAAGTGGCGTAGGAAGGCAAGGGGGGGGGGCGGAACCGGAGGTAGTATACAAAGGCCGCGGTCTCGGGGGCGGCGGCGCGCGGTTGCGATGTGCTCTTCTCTCCATGTAGTGCTTCTCCGACGACCCGGCTGGCTGCACCGCGCGCTAGCTGTTGCTCGCTGTAAGTACAGCGCCACCCCCGGCCACCCCCGCCTCGGCCCCTGTCAGCGTAAGTATATTGCGAGGCCGCTTCTACCGCTACTCGAGGAGCCGGAGCGGGAGGTAGAGGAAAGAAGATGAGGGGGGAGGAGGAGAAGGGGAGGATCCGGGTGAGGTGGACGGACACGCCCTCCCGCCTGGGGCGACTCTTCGGGACGGTCCTTGGCTTGGCATCCGCTCCGGTGCTGCGACAGCCGACACTCCTTGGCCCTTCCTTCTCCTCCTCCTCCTCGCCGACGTCGTCGTAACCCGGGGCAGGGAGGGCCAATAATTTAGGGTGGAGCTTTTCACCGCACCGCACCGCCACACCCGTTGGTTGGTATATTTTACTGTTCTCCGGGAAACCATATAAGGTACTGTCGAGGTGATTATTTTCGTCAATTAAATCTTGTAAAATATATGACGACCGAGTGCGAAAAATAATAATTCTACCTAGGTATACCCTTCTCCGCCATCGGCCACACCCGCACAAACGCACCCATACTACCTTGCGAGCGATACGATAGCAACGCGAAAACCTCGGCAGAAACACACAATTCACATAATTAAAAATACGAAATAATAACAAGGGTGAAAAAAAAAGCCACGAAGAGATAATTACATTGTTTGGCCATCGGCTTCGCCTAAATAACAGATACAGATACAGAGCAGCGATAGCGGCACGGCTCCAGCTGTTCATCATCAAATCTAGGAGAACCAGCAGAATCAACGGCGCGGACTCTCTCTGCCTGTCTCTCTCTCTCGGCCGGTGGTCTTTCTGACTTCTAACAAGAGATGCGCGCTGACGTCATTCATCCCATCGGGTGCGGGTCGGTCGGCCTCTCTCTCTCTCTCTCTCGGCCGGTGGTCTTTCTGACTTCTAACAAGAGATGCGCGCTGACGTCATTCATCCCATCGGGTGCGGGTCGGTCGGCGAAATTAAATACGTGGGCGCAAAAAGCGCATGCAAGATATGCCCAACACTATAATTAAAACAAGTGATTGGAATTGTACCCGCCCATGGGTTTTGCAACCCTGTTGAAGTAACCCCAGTCGGCTGTGATTTTCAGCCACCCACTGAACCGCCCTCCAGCCTCCAGAAGGCTGGTCGGTCGGACGGGCAGCTACCGGATTTTCTCGACTTCCGGCCCTGATCTCGAGATACCGGATACAGTCCCCAAAATTGTTTCTCTGCAAAAACAGGTAAACGAGATAATAACATTTTGTGGAGACTGTATCCGAGATAGGGGCCGGAAGTCGAAAAATCCGGCAGCTCTCGGGCTGTGGGGCATGCACGCCCAGGGCTCCGAGCTCCGAGGTAAGGGCATACCGAACCGTCATGGTATCGCCCATCTCTCTCTCTCTCTCTCTCTCTCTCTCTCTCTCTCTCTCTCTCTCTCTCTCTCTCTCTCTCTCTCTCTCTCTCTCTCTCTCTCCCTCTCCCCCCATCTTTTCTCCCTCCCATTATTTACCCGCAGGCCAGCCGCACCCAGTTAGCATCTCCGGAACAAGCAGCCCCCAAGGCCCAAGGGTATGGGCCTAAGAGAACCAGCAGGCGGCCACTCGGCCAGACCTAAGTCCTCTTTAATGCTACAATCACAGAGTGAAGGAGTTGGCCAAGCAGCTGCTAAGAGTGCCCCTCCCTCCTTTCACCCCCTCGGGGCCTCTCCTTGACCCTCCAGCAAGGCCGCCGCGAAAACACAATGAAATGGCCCTTCCGTTTGCACAGCAGGTCGGCAAAGGCACGCAGCCACAGCTCTGAGAAAAGGAAGAGACAAAAAGTGGCACATCCAGAAATCTATGTATATATATATCTTGTCGAATCGTTTTCATGTAGTTCACGTGACTGTATGTATGAAATTTGTTGTGACAAACTGCATTGCGTATCTTTCTCTCCCGCCTCTCCTCTGACATCATTTATACTCTCGTGTACTCGACATTTGAAAAAATATCAATTTAAAAAATCAACGAGGAAACCATCACATAAACTACCAATGAAAACTTGCAGAAACAAAATCTAAATCGGATAATTATAAGTTTGCTGGTTGTAATTTTTGTGTGATTTTAGGAAAGTCAGAATTTGACATTTTGTGTGCAGTACTCACAGAGAGCAACGAGTTGCTGCGCGGGTCAGTGACGAGCGCGACGAGGCACGCCGGGTGGAACTTGGCGCTAAACTGCTGCTGCTGCAGGCGGCGCAGGCTGTCCTCCTTGCGTCGCCGCTTCTCCTCCAGGCGCTCCTGCTTGCCCCGCTGCAGCTCCAGCTCGCGCTCGTGGCGCTGCAGCTCGCGCTCCAGCTGCCGCTCCTGGCGCGTCTGCCGGCGCGCCACCTCCTTGAGCTGCCGCAGGTTGTGGCGCGCCACAATCTACAAAGGGGGTACAAACAATATCGTGTGGTTCAGCATTAAGTTCATAAACACTGCCCGAGTTCAAAGTAGAGACCCCGCGTTTATTCTCAGCCGAGGGGTACAAATATTACGCCCGCTTCATTAGGTCCAGGACCAGAGCAGTTCAGAGGGAGGGAGAACGTATTTCCGCGGATGCGTCCCGCGTCGGTTGCAGCTAATTGGTTTCCTTTAATCGCGTCCCTCGCGCAGGGGAAGCCCTCGGCCCCCTCCCCCCCTCCTTGGGGCCTCCAGAAGAAAAGCCAAACCGATCCTCCACCACCGCGCAGAGAGGGGTCGCGGCGCTCGCCTCGCGCCAGCGGTGGTGCCAGCTCCTTATTTTGCGTCCGCCTTCAGAAGATGGAGTTGGCGGGGCGTGGCGGAGGGGCCCTACAACAACCCCCTCACCCCCTACACTCCTCCCCGCCAGCCGGCTGCTTATTCAACGAAGAGAACTTTACAATCTACGTCGCCGGCTACTT